GTACCCCCTTGGAAAATTTTTAATTTTTTTCACGCTTATCAAAAGGTACTTAATTTTAACGCTAGAAGGCTGAAATACACTGCGTTTAATTCACTTTTTGGCGCTCTATTCATTACTATTAATATAGGATCAAAATAGAACCTCCTTCTTGTAGAAAAGTGACCTTAGGAAAAATAATCTTTCTTGTCAATCTATTCTTAAAAATACAGTTAGAAGCTTGAAACCTATGCCATTTATCTTATTTTTTGACGCTTAATCTTTTTCCAGCTATCTCCAATCAAAATACTCTTTAAATTGGTGAGTGAAAACTCATGACCCAAAAATTGGACCCTAAAAATTTTACCTAAGCTTTTTTAAATATTACATATAAAAAAATTAATCTTTGCTTAATAGAAAATTTTAACATTCTAATAATATTTTATTTTTCTTATATAATAAATTTTTTGTCATATAATAAAATTTTTTAATGATTTTATTTTTAAAGTGACTTTTATTGTAGTCATGATTTATATTTAATTATTGAATTGTGTTTAGACAATGATATTTTTGGTAGTAATGATTTTTGTTTAGACAATGATTTTTATTTTAGTAATGACTTTTTTCTTTTTGTTCAGAGTAATTTAATTTTTCTTATAATTTCATTGTTAAATTTCATTTTCATTTGTATTTTTTTAGGGAAATTTAATTTTTCTTATAATTTCATTGTTAAATTAATTTTCATTTACAATTTCATAGGTTATTTTAATTCTTATAAATTCAATGTTAAATTTCATTTTCATTTATATTTTTATACATAATATTAATATTTCCTTCATATCTCAATCCCCAATCCCCAATCGCCAATTGGCGATTGGGGACGGTGAAGCCCTTTTCTCAGCTTTTCCTAACATGTCTAACCATAGTACTACGTACGTTGTGTGATAGTAATATTGTAATGTAGTCAAAACCAAACCCAAACCCATGCAAAAGTTTTTAGTTTAAAACTAATTAAGAATCTTCAGACAATTAAACATTGTTGGAATTTAAATTCATAGAGATACTTTTAAATTTTAAAACCCAAAAAAAAAAAAAGGAAGGAAGTTTTTGAATTAATAAAATAAAAGATGCAGCTTTAAGATGGTACTTATGAAAAGAATTATTATTGTTTTTAATCTTTAATGTTGGAGATTAGAATAAAATTTAAGGAGATTAAAATTGATGTTAAGGTGAAAATAAATATGATTAACGAGTTTGATGACATTGTAATATTTATGCCTTTTAAATGTCTTTATTGAGGACACATAGTAATATTTAAGCATTTTATGAATTGAATTAATTCGAATTGTCTCTTTATGATTATTTTACTCCACCAACTTTTAATTTTATTTTATATTTAGAAACATTAAGAGTTTATTAATATGTCAATTGTTTTGTTGATGCCACTAGTTTATTTATCATTTCCATATCACTAATTCTCTTTTCTATTATATTGTATTCTATTTGTGAAATGTCAATAATTATAATAATTCTAGAATTCTCTTGGATTACCTATATTTATATTCAAATATTCAACATTATATCTTTATTTTTATAGATTTACAATTATTGCATCATTAACAACCAAATTTTTATTATACATATTTTTATATACAATATCAACATAATCAATAATTTTAAATAATACATTCAACATATATTATAATTTATTAGAATAACTTATAGAATTCTATAACTTTATCTTATAGAAATTCTATAACATTTATATCTTTTTTCATTAAGTTAATAGAAATCTGGTTGAATACCCTTGATTGTCTTTCTGAATGTTTATTAGTACCTACTTTAAGCATTTGCTTCATATAAGATCTATTTTATACTATACTTCTTATAAATTCCTTGCCTTTGGTGCTACTCATAGTTTATGAGAAATAGCAAAAATATAGTTCTTCTTTATAAATTTAGAACCATCTGAAAAAAGGAGAACAATTTTTTGTTCCCTTTTCTGAACCTTATTTGAATATATCTATAAAAAAATCCAATCAAATTGTGCAATCGGAAAGTAACTTAGGCTGATAACTTTGAATTAATGAATTAATTCTCAATTACTTTAAGAACCATGATGAATGAAGGATATAAAATATATTTGTATGATTGATTGATATTCATTGATAATGTGAAAAACAATTTTGGCAACAGAAAACCCGAGCATGGTCTTTTTTGGTTCCACATTTCCCAACTATTTTTCCTGGTCCGTCTAATTGTCCTTATTTGACAAAAGTATAAACCATCTTTTTACATCCTTAATCATCTACAACTTCTCCGGTGTTTCTTTGTTTNATAAAATTTTTTAATGATTTTATTTTTAAAGTGACATTTATTGTAGTCATGATTTATATTTAATTATTGAATTGTGTTTAGACAATGATATTTTTGGTAGTAATGATTTTTGTTTAGACAATGATTTTTATTTTAGTAATGACTTTTTTCTTTTTGTTCAGAGTAATTTAATTTTTCTTATAATTTCATTGTTAAATTTCATTTTCATTTGTATTTTTTTAGGGAAATTTAATTTTTCTTATAATTTCATTGTTAAATTAATTTTCATTTACAATTTCATAGGTTATTTTAATTCTTATAAATTCAATGTTAAATTTCATTTTCATTTATATTTTTATACATAATATTAATATTTCCTTCATATCTCAATCCCCAATCCCCAATCGCCAATTGGCGATTGGGGACGGTGAAGCCCTTTTCTCAGCTTTTCCTAACATGTCTAACCATAGTACTACGTACGTTGTGTGATAGTAATATTGTAATGTAGTCAAAACCAAACCCAAACCCATGCAAAAGTTTTTAGTTTAAAACTAATTAAGAATCTTCAGACAATTAAACATTGTTGGAATTTAAATTCATAGAGATACTTTTAAATTTTAAAACCCAAAAAAAAAAAAAGGAAGGAAGTTTTTGAATTAATAAAATAAAAGATGCAGCTTTAAGATGGTACTTATGAAAAGAATTATTATTGTTTTTAATCTTTAATGTTGGAGATTAGAATAAAATTTAAGGAGATTAAAATTGATGTTAAGGTGAAAATAAATATGATTAACGAGTTTGATGACATTGTAATATTTATGCCTTTTAAATGTCTTTATTGAGGACACATAGTAATATTTAAGCATTTTATGAATTGAATTAATTCGAATTGTCTCTTTATGATTATTTTACTCCACCAACTTTTAATTTTATTTTATATTTAGAAACATTAAGAGTTTATTAATATGTCAATTGTTTTGTTGATGCCACTAGTTTATTTATCATTTCCATATCACTAATTCTCTTTTCTATTATATTGTATTCTATTTGTGAAATGTCAATAATTATAATAATTCTAGAATTCTCTTGGATTACCTATATTTATATTCAAATATTCAACATTATATCTTTATTTTTATAGATTTACAATTATTGCATCATTAACAACCAAATTTTTATTATACATATTTTTATATACAATATCAACATAATCAATAATTTTAAATAATACATTCAACATATATTATAATTTATTAGAATAACTTATAGAATTCTATAACTTTATCTTATAGAAATTCTATAACATTTATATCTTTTTTCATTAAGTTAATAGAAATCTGGTTGAATACCCTTGATTGTCTTTCTGAATGTTTATTAGTACCTACTTTAAGCATTTGCTTCATATAAGATCTATTTTATACTATACTTCTTATAAATTCCTTGCCTTTGGTGCTACTCATAGTTTATGAGAAATAGCAAAAATATAGTTCTTCTTTATAAATTTAGAACCATCTGAAAAAAGGAGAACAATTTTTTGTTCCCTTTTCTGAACCTTATTTGAATATATCTATAAAAAAATCCAATCAAATTGTGCAATCGGAAAGTAACTTAGGCTGATAACTTTGAATTAATGAATTAATTCTCAATTACTTTAAGAACCATGATGAATGAAGGATATAAAATATATTTGTATGATTGATTGATATTCATTGATAATGTGAAAAACAATTTTGGCAACAGAAAACCCGAGCATGGTCTTTTTTGGTTCCACATTTCCCAACTATTTTTCCTGGTCCGTCTAATTGTCCTTATTTGACAAAAGTATAAACCATCTTTTTACATCCTTAATCATCTACAACTTCTCCGGTGTTTCTTTGTTTTAAATTATTGTAAATTTTCACTAGACTATCCATTGCTGCACCAATCTATGCCATTTAATAAATTATATAATGAAGATTTGATTTTACGATGAAATTTAAAATGCTAAAATGCGTAAATTCTGATAAATTCTAAAATGCGTAAATTCTGATAAATTCTAAAAATTTTAAATTATTTAAATTGAAGGAAAAGTTTTCATTTAAAGCTGAAAGCATAATTAATGATGTTTGCCTGAAGTGTTAGCCATATTGATTGTTGTCCCACTAGTAGGAGTTATTTAATTAGTCGCAGAAAAATAGATAAAACAACCATGTTGTTATTCTATACTATATTTAAATATTTTATGTGATTTGCTTCATATAACTTCATTAAAGAGAATTGAACATTGATTCTTAATATTATTAAATAATAGTTTCTTTAAATATTCAATATTTCTAGAAATCAATTAAGAAAACTAATTAAAACAAATAGATGGAACATTATTGTTTAAGGTCAATAGAAGTGTAATATGATTATGTTAAATATTTTAGATAATTTAAATTAATTAAGAAGATTTAGATAAATCTACTTAAACTTCAATAATTAAACTTATGATAGTTTCAATAAAATAAATTTACATACAATATTTCAATTTAAGAAATTAATATTCTGTAATTTTATATATTTATTTTATGAAATATGATGAACCTCTTGACATGAGAGTAGATTATTGTTAGAGCATAAATTGTACGAAACTAGTATAAGTATACTAGTATCAATAACTATTTTTGTGAATAAACTATGAATTTATTGATACTAGTATAATTTAATTTATGAATTATATTTGAGGTGAGCAAGATGAAAGACTTTAACTATTGATAAGTATTGTAAAGAGAATAAAATTTAATATTGTTGTTGTCTTCCCTGAAAATTAAATTAACGTAATTCAATTCACATACTCTAGTTTTTGTAAAAGCTATTAATCTTATTGGGAATAACAATTTTCAGAACAAGGTACAAAAAATATATATGTATCATTATTATTTATGATTATAATAACCAGCTAATTAAACATTATAAATATATAATGATCTAGAAGATGATTTAGTATTTGTACTACCCATAAGCGAGGATACCTAATTATACTGAAAGCAAATTAGAAAAGAATAAATAAGAATAATTTGGATTAGAATCTAGTAATTATAATCTTAATTATTTAGCTGAAAAGAACACAAAGATTTTGTCTATGATTATATAATAATATTAATAATAATAATAGATTTATTAACTTAAATTAGATCAACATAATTAAGATGTCTTAAAATTGAATCTCATAAGATTAGGTAAATTATTTGGATTTAAAGTTACTCTAAAATTAAATACTATATTTTATAAATATATTTTTAGATTTCAGATTAAGATCAAGTAAGAAAATCATTATTAGTTTATTTGACTTAAATCAATACTTTTCTAAGTAAATGATTTTATTTACAATTTAATTTGATGTGATGACTTAATTGTTTATAATATATTTTATCCTCTTTGGTGTCTTTTTTTAATTATTTTCAGTATTAACCATATTTTATTTGCACTTTAATAATTTTGAAGCATATAAATAATTATGCCTTAGATATTTCATACTTCTTTTTTACATAATTATTTTCTTGTCATCCAAAACTAGGCTATAATATGATAGTTCTAACAACAAGTTTCATACAAACCACTTGAATTCAATAGAATTTTTAATTGATGATANAATAGATGGAACATTATTGTTTAAGGTCAATAGAAGTGTAATATGATTATGTTAAATATTTTAGATAATTTAAATTAATTAAGAAGATTTAGATAAATCTACTTAAACTTCAATAATTAAACTTATGATAGTTTCAATAAAATAAATTTACATACAATATTTCAATTTAAGAAATTAATATTCTGTAATTTTATATATTTATTTTATGAAATATGATGAACCTCTTGACATGAGAGTAGATTATTGTTAGAGCATAAATTGTACGAAACTAGTATAAGTATACTAGTATCAATAACTATTTTTGTGAATAAACTATGAATTTATTGATACTAGTATAATTTAATTTATGAATTATATTTGAGGTGAGCAAGATGAAAGACTTTAACTATTGATAAGTATTGTAAAGAGAATAAAATTTAATATTGTTGTTGTCTTCCCTGAAAATTAAATTAACGTAATTCAATTCACATACTCTAGTTTTTGTAAAAGCTATTAATCTTATTGGGAATAACAATTTTCAGAACAAGGTACAAAAAATATATATGTATCATTATTATTTATGATTATAATAACCAGCTAATTAAACATTATAAATATATAATGATCTAGAAGATGATTTAGTATTTGTACTACCCATAAGCGAGGATACCTAATTATACTGAAAGCAAATTAGAAAAGAATAAATAAGAATAATTTGGATTAGAATCTAGTAATTATAATCTTAATTATTTAGCTGAAAAGAACACAAAGATTTTGTCTATGATTATATAATAATATTAATAATAATAATAGATTTATTAACTTAAATTAGATCAACATAATTAAGATGTCTTAAAATTGAATCTCATAAGATTAGGTAAATTATTTGGATTTAAAGTTACTCTAAAATTAAATACTATATTTTATAAATATATTTTTAGATTTCAGATTAAGATCAAGTAAGAAAATCATTATTAGTTTATTTGACTTAAATCAATACTTTTCTAAGTAAATGATTTTATTTACAATTTAATTTGATGTGATGACTTAATTGTTTATAATATATTTTATCCTCTTTGGTGTCTTTTTTTAATTATTTTCAGTATTAACCATATTTTATTTGCACTTTAATAATTTTGAAGCATATAAATAATTATGCCTTAGATATTTCATACTTCTTTTTTACATAATTATTTTCTTGTCATCCAAAACTAGGCTATAATATGATAGTTCTAACAACAAGTTTCATACAAACCACTTGAATTCAATAGAATTTTTAATTGATGATACAGCATATATTATAAATTGATTTAAATGTATTCCTATCTTTTTTTTTATTTTATCCTATTCTAAAATAAGATGTATCCTTTATGTTATCTTAATTTGTTAACCTCCACTAATTCCATTTCTCCAAATACACCATTTACACATTAATCATTATAATTTTATCACTTTCTATATTAATTGAATTTCCCCTTATACTATTAAATAAAATGAATCAGCTATTTATTTTTCTTAAATTAAAATTAAATTATTAATTCTTATTCTTATTTAAATTAATCCGCTAAAACTGAATATTAGATTTAATTTCTAAGTCAATAGATTCGTCGTTATATCATGACTTAATAATACAAGGACCCAAGAATCTCTAGTAACTGTTCAGAATAAACAAATGTTCTTTAAACTATTTAGTTTTCTTAACTTAACATTATCTCAAATTATGTATTTTAATTATAACTATTTGCAGATAAGAATTTTCATGATAATCGATGTATGCTCTTCTCAATCAATTTCATAGACATTCCATCAGTAAATTTTTTAAGATATGATATGTATTATCGAAATTTCTTCAAATACATCAGAATAGTGTTAATGAGGTTTATCGAAGAGAGATCGAAAATATAATATATACTATAATATTTAGTATAGATAATGATAGTAACTCAAAAAAAAAAAGAAGAAACTTGTCAAGCTAATTAACTTAAATTATGCATTGTTTTTAATCAAATTCATTAGGTAATGAAAAATAGAAAAATTAACCATATAAATATTATGACTCAATTTGAGGAAATGTAAATAAATAAAATAAATATTTATTATTATAAGTAATCAAAATAATTACATTTAATAATATTTCGAATGAGAGATCGTAAAAATTGAGATGATGGATAAAAGATAGGATGATTAGTTATGGGTAAGAAAGTGAATTTTCATTACAAAAATTTATGTAATTTTTGAAAAAAGATTTGTAAAGTATTAGATCGTAATGTTTATAAAACTTAGAAATATTATAATATTAAGTTTAAATTTCAAAAATAATAATTTATATAAATAATAATATATAATTTTAATCAAGAATTATCTTTTTACTAGAATTTATCAGAATTACTAGAATTTATCAGAAAATCAGAGCTTAAATAGTGCAATTTAGTATAATTTGTTTTTTAATTTAAAAAATATAAAATTAAAAATGATGGATAACTTTACTGTTGATTAAATAAGAGAGATTATGGATAAACAATAAAATTCAGCAAACATATCAGTCATTGCTCGCGTCGATATTTGAAAGTCAACAATAACAGATTCTTTACTCTGTCAGGTTGAAATCTAAAAGAAAGTGAAGATAAAAGAATGACTGACATAAGCGAGCATGAGTTATTAAGTGGAATTAAAATAAAGTCTACAGGATTACATTATAAATATGATATTAATACAAAAACATAAAGGAATAATTTTTGATCAATTGGATTGATTCTCCAGGGCATATAGACTTTAGTTTAGAAGTAACAGCTGCTCTTAGAGTAACTGATGGAACCTTTGTTATTATACATTAAATTGAAAGAGTCTGTGTATAGACAGACAGAAACAGTATTGAGATAAGTTATGTAAGAGAAGATAAAGACAATTGTGTTAATCAATCAGAATGATAAAGCAATATTGGAATTATAACATTATGGTGAAACTATGTTGTAATAATTAATCTATTAAATTATCAATATCAGAACTTTGTTAAAGTTATTGATAATGCCAATATGATAATACAAACATATCAATAAAAAAAAAGGGACAATTATACCACAATTTGGATCAGGTTTTCATGCACAAAATTAGTTTTGTCTTATGCTGCTAAATCAATACGAATAGAGAGATTATGGGTTATTTGATGATGAGAGTAAGATATTGGGGAAAGGAGAATGAAGGATCTTCAAGAAAGTAATTACATAGAGCTTTTATTTCCTTTATGAGGGATCTTATATGTATATTGGCTAATGCAGTTATGGAAAGTATTTGGAAATGGCCAAGAAGATGTTCATTATTATAGGATTGAAACTTATATAAAAGGAATAGAATAAAATGGTAAACATCTCTTAAAAAACTGTTATATCTAAATGGATTTAATGCTGCTGATACTGTCTTTGACATGATTATAACTCATTTAACTTCTCATAGAGAAGCATAGTAATACAGAGCATCTAATCTATATGAATGTCCTTGATGCCATAGCTTAATCTATGAATGTAATCCTAAAGACCTTTGATTATGTATAATATCATTAATTTTAATTATTAAGTGAATTAATAATTTATTGATCCATAATGGAAATCATTATATGCATTGTTGTAATAATTATTAAAATAAGATATCAACTCCTTGTTTACATTTTTTTCATACTGAATGTTTCCATTAATTTATCAATAGCTATTTTATCTCTATCATCTACTACTTTTTAGTGTAAACCAATGAAATACAATAAATAATAAATTATAAATTAGATAAAATTCACTTTAGTCATAGATAAAGATTTAAAAAGACAGTGAATAAGTTTAATGATACAAATGGGTTCACATCCAAAAAAAATCAATATTTACAAAATTAATTAAGCTAAAAATTCTCAAAAGAATAACGTTTATAAAGAAAAAAAATAGAATAAGATTAATTAATTTTTCCTAATGCAAATTATTAATCTTTTTATCTAGAATTAATTTGATTGAAAATAATCACAAGTAGCTAATACTTTGGATTAAATTCTTAATAAAATGTTGATTAAAAGTTACAGTAGTGTTATCCTGAATAAGAAAATGATTCTTCTAAGATAGACTATTTTTACTCATTTTTGTATACAATGATTTAATAAATTCTATATAATTATTCTGATCAAATATAATTTCTGAATGAATACTTTTATAAAAGAATTAATTAAGTGCTGATGAAGGATTTGATTCGTAAAATTTACACTTGCTAACTAATATAAAAATTTTCTAAATATATTGGATTGCCACTATTAATTATAAAATAACATACTTAAAAGAAGTAATTTAAAAGGGTTTCTCGATGCTTGGGCTAAAATGTCAATGAGATCTATTGTCTCTAAGACATTCTTTTAGATAAGAAATTGGAAATCAAAATTTGTGACTTTGAATGTGGTGCTGAACCAATTAAAGGAGGATTTATCACTAGATCTTCTGGTCTGATGGATAAAGGTGTATTAAAACAAGCTTTGTCAGAACAAGCAACTCCTAACCTGCCACAAATTTAACCAGTTCATGTAGTTCTTCTAATACTAATTAATTGAATTCAGTTACATTCATTTAACAACTTTTATCCTCCTCTTAATTTTGTAATGCAACCTTCTTTATATTTATTACAATCATAATTTTTGATAAAATGTTATTGTGGTATTAGGACCATTATCACATGTTCTTTCTGAACAACCTTTACAAGTAGTATTATTAACCGTGCAATCTTTTTTTGTAATAGCATATTATTCATGAGTAACAACAAATTCAAAATGAGCATTTTGAAATGTAAATAATACACAAGTTAACCAGTCCGAAAACATTTATTATATTTGTATCTATTTAACAACTCTCTTCAAAATCATAGTTTGAATCATCAGAAATACTCATACATCCTCCAATAAATAAGAACAAAATTATCTAAAATTGTAAAAACAAATAATAATTTGAGTTTTCACATCCTTTAAAATACAGAAATATTTTATAAAATTTTATATATATTATATACATATAACTGTTCATTCCAAAATCATAATGATCCTGCATTTTATATATAAATATATTATATTAAATTATACATGATTCCTTAATTGTTACATCATTACATTATGTTTTAAATCTCAAACTTCCCTCTACATCAAATGTACAATTTTAAAAATATTGTTGACATGCTATATTTGTTCTAATATATTTTGGTGCAGTTTAACATGAACGATACATACATTTACAATCGACTCATGAACATAATTACAATTTTTTTTGATTATAATAACATTACATTTCCAATTCTTAATTTTCACAATTATATACCCTCATTGATAAATTTATTTGAAACCATTTAACAAAGTTTTTAAACGCTAAAAGGATAACTAGAATATGATGTAAATTAAAACTAAATCATTTAAAACATATTCCCTTTATTTTTCAACATTTATCAGATCCAAATTTAGAACTATAGATATTATTTAAAACTTTTGTGTTTGATTCTTCAATTGTTGATTTCACAGAGCCATCATATTCAAAAATTTGTGTAAGTGAACATAATGAACTTAAATTAATATTTGTTAAATACTCATCAAAAAAAATATCTATACAAACTTCATTATAAAATTATATTAATTATATATATATATAATTTATCTAAAAGTTCAATTACACAATTATTTTTTTAAAGTATCTGCATTATATTCACAAAAAAATATTACCATATCTCTCACTTTATATCGAGCAAATACTCTAGTTGCAAATAAAAACCCTCTAAAGTCTTAATGATCATAATATAACAAGAACAAAATTATTCTTAAAATTTAAAATTGATTATTTCAACCCTTGCTGAAGTTGATAGTGGAGAAAATACAACATAGTGTTCCTGCGACTAAATGACTTATAGAGTAGGTTATATCTACAATGCATTCATAATTTCCACCAATCTTATAAACTAAATAGAAAATCAATTTATCAAATAGGATATTCTGGTAATGCCCATAAGCAACTTCCATGAAATAAAACATTTTTTATATAGTTTTTATTATTGTTTTATAAATACTTTATAAGTTAATCATTTAGAAAAAGATAATTAAAAATGACGCTCTTATCTTCTTTTTTCTTCTAAACCAATTACTATCCAAATTTCAAGATCATATTATTGACTTTCTTAATTGTTACCAATCTTTCAAAATTTCTACTTAGGCAAAATGAAACCATATTATCTTAATTCTTAAGAGTGGATTAAAAATGTTATCCTTCTCTAATAAGAATTATTCAGGATGATTCGTTTCTTTCTTCAAAATAGCATATTTTGAATTTTATTTTGATAATGTATGATACAAAAAAAAGCTAGATAACTTTTATGAGAAACATGTTATAATCTTGTATTAACATCTATTTCTAATCCTTTATTAACTAAGTCTATGTTCTTTATCAGGGATATTTAATTAACTATTAGTATTTCCTTTAAAATCAGGTATATTCAATTATGGATTTTATAATTGATTATCTTTTTCAATTCCTTTTCTATAAAATATTAGCTAATTCTGGAAACAATTTAAATAAATTATCAAATATTTTAAAAATTTTTAAATAAAATTTTATTTTCATAGCATGCTACTAATGGTTTGGCTTAAATAAAATCTATTTATTTTAAATATCAAATCATATATAAATACACTAAGTTATTATAATCCAGCAACTAAATATACAGATGATTTTTATATCGCCACTTAAGGATAAAGAAAATACATTTCTTTTATTATTACTTATGACTTGACTTAATTAATAAAATGATAATCCAAAAAAAGAAACTAAACTATTTAATACAAAATTAATTCCATAAAACTGAAACTATAATAGTAATTGATTTTATTTCCTATTATTTTGTATTAATTCAAACTATTCTAATAATTTTAAATTGTTATAGAATCAGATCCTGGAAATTCAAAGATAAATTCCTGTATTATTCCATTTCATCGTTATCATCTTTGTTCTTAATTAAGATAAATAACCTATTAACATTTAATATGTTAGGTTAATAATTAATTAAATTTAAGATTTCTTATAAAAAACAAAAATTGAATAACTCTTAGTTTTAGTTTCTTCTCTTTTTGTATACTATTTACAACAAAATATTAACATTGCATTACTTCTTACCACATCTTCTTTTGAAATTTTATCGATCCTTTTCACATTTAATTTTTCAAATTAATGATAAGAAACAGACACAAATAATTGAGGCAACTATGACTTTTAGTCATCTGTAGATAATTTTTTTCTTAATTTAAAATTTTTAGGCTGAATCTATTTAATTGGAACAAAAAAATAAAATAATATTGCCTAAATCGTTTGAATGATTACAGCTTTGAATTTGAATATAATTTGATATCTAAAATTATTATTTGTTCATATTTTCAGAAAGAACCACATTAATATATTGATATCAATTTTTAACTCATGTCATTCAAATTTAGAAGAAGAAAATAAAAAAAAATTAACTTAATAAATTTTGATAAAAATCAACAAAATACTTAGTATTATTTATAAATTAGAAATTTTTAGCTTTCCAATAAGGCTTTTCAGCTTTTTCTTATTTAAAGTAAACTTTTGATATGGTTTGATCATCAAGTATTATCCATTGTGAATAATCTCACATACTGAACTTTAATTATCAAATTCTATTATTAAATTAAAATTTTAAGATTTTTTAGAGAAAATAAAATAATTATTCTTAATTAATATAGTGTTGTAAATATAACAATAGAGGATAAACTAAATTTCATTATTTAGCAGTGATGATTCATCATATAAAATATTAATAAATAATGGTAACTTATATATTATTTATTTAATTTTTAAATTGTAAAAATAATTTCGTCTACACTTATAATTTAATGTAGGCAACTTTGAAGTAAATCCTAAAAGGAATATATTACCAGGAGTATTGATAAAGATATTTTTAAAGGTTATAGTATCTAATGTATTTGAATCAATGAAATTTATAGACTGACTGCAAATCATGCCAAATTTAATGAAGTTAAAAATCATAGTTCTATTTGCACATCAAATAAATAAAAGAACGCGTGATACTAATAGAAAATTGAGATATTTAATGGTTCAAAGGTGATTTGAAAGTAATGCAAAACAATGAGTGGAAAGAGTTTATAGAATCAATTTATAAATGATGGAATTAACTTGATTCTAAAAATTTAAGAGGTGATAAATCAATAAGTTAAAGGAAGTTATTATACTTCTCAAAAAAATATTGCAGAACACCCTATCGCCCTGAATAAGAAAAGAATGTAAGAAGTGAAAATCTGCTTCAAACTGATGAAATTTATGTTTTTAGATTAAACTTTATTTAATCTGTATTAACAATACGAATTTATGTGTACTTGAAGGCGTTGTTGGGTTTTAATTAGTAAAGGGCAATATTTATTCACTAGATTTGTGAACACAATCTTGAGTAAAATAGATAAATAATACAATTAATGGGAACAATAATTTTGTACTAATACTGGATAACAGTCCATTTTAACATAGTAAAAGAATTAAGAATTTTTTTTTAAATATATATTTCAGCCCCTCTAAATAAATCTAAAGAGAAAGAATGGCATAATTTAAAAACCTATGTTTATAACTAATTATATTCTGATTCACTTTAGTCAGTCATAGTATATTTGGCAATAATGCAGTAATTTATTTAAGCTATAAATATAAAATTTACATTGTTCTCCTCCTATTAGTTGAGATCTTTAAAAAATTCAATGAATTCTATTTTCTATACAATCAATGTTTAGAGATTAGGAAAATCCTTGTATTCAATTAAATAATCCTTATTTAATCAATATATACCTACTGATTCTAAAAAAGTGTTATATTTTAAAAGTTGACTTAATAACCTTTATTTTGNTAACTTATATATTATTTATTTAATTTTTAAATTGTAAAAATAATTTCGTCTACACTTATAATTTAATGTAGGCAACTTTGAAGTAAATCCTAAAAGGAATATATTACCAGGAGTATTGATAAAGATATTTTTAAAGGTTATAGTATCTAATGTATTTGAATCAATGAAATTTATAGACTGACTGCAAATCATGCCAAATTTAATGAAGTTAAAAATCATAGTTCTATTTGCACATCAAATAAATAAAAGAACGCGTGATACTAATAGAAAATTGAGATATTTAATGGTTCAAAGGTGATTTGAAAGTAATGCAAAACAATGAGTGGAAAGAGTTTATAGAATCAATTTATAAATGATGGAATTAACTTGATTCTAAAAATTTAAGAGGTGATAAATCAATAAGTTAAAGGAAGTTATTATACTTCTCAAAAAAATATTGCAGAACACCCTATCGCCCTGAATAAGAAAAGAATGTAAGAAGTGAAAATCTGCTTCAAACTGATGAAATTTATGTTTTTAGATTAAACTTTATTTAATCTGTATTAACAATACGAATTTATGTGTACTTGAAGGCGTTGTTGGGTTTTAATTAGTAAAGGGCAATATTTATTCACTAGATTTGTGAACACAATCTTGAGTAAAATAGATAAATAATACAATTAATGGGAACAATAATTTTGTACTAATACTGGATAACAGTCCATTTTAACATAGTAAAAGAATTAAGAATTTTTTTTTAAATATATATTTCAGCCCCTCTAAATAAATCTAAAGAGAAAGAATGGCATAATTTAAAAACCTATGTTTATAACTAATTATATTCTGATTCACTTTAGTCAGTCATAGTATATTTGGCAATAATGCAGTAATTTATTTAAGCTATAAATATAAAATTTACATTGTTCTCCTCCTATTAGTTGAGATCTTTAAAAAATTCAATGAATTCTATTTTCTATACAATCAATGTTTAGAGATTAGGAAAATCCTTGTATTCAATTAAATAATCCTTATTTAATCAATATATACCTACTGATTCTAAAAAAGTGTTATATTTTAAAAGTTGACTTAATAACCTTTATTTTGTTTTCTCTTCTTGAAAAACCTCTCTTAAATAAATGATTTTTTCTTAAATTTATCAAATAATATTGAAGGTTTCAAACTACCTCTTTTAACATTATTAACATTCTCAAGTGGTTCCTTTTTATATCAAATTTTTAATCTTCAATATTTCATTGATTCTCGCAAATCAATGAAAAAATAAAATAATAATTTAATTTCTAAATGAAACTTATAGTTCTGATCATCTTAATTTAATAATTTTTGTACATTTAAATTAGTTAAATAGCAGTTTGACTAATTTAAAAGAACCATCATCTATAAAATAACTCCATGCAATAATAAACAATCTCATCAAAATAATTTCTAAAGCTAATTTATAATAACTTTTGTTCTAAACAACTAAAATTTTTGAGTAAGAAAAGTCAAAATATGGATTTAAAACCTAAGAAAAATAGATTATTATATTTTTTTGAAAGACTTTGAGATTATCGAAACCTAACAATCTATATATTTCTAAACAACCGAATTTGTTGATGTATTAAATAGTAATATTTTTGAGTGATTAATCTTAAATTTAAAACAACTTCAATAATTTATATTTAATGAAAATAAACGCTCAACTTTTGTTATACAATCATGCAAAACAATATTAAACTGTAAGCTTATAAATGGATAAGTGTAAAGGAAGGGGGGATTGATAAATTAATAACATTTGAGGGTTTAATTCTTCTTGCATCCACTTCAAATATAATGAATACTAAAACTTTATATATATTATAAGCTTTTATTTTTATTCATGTGAAATAAATTATTAAATTATTAAATTGAAGAAGATTACACAATAACATCTGTATTTATTGTTCCAAAACCTTTGCTTCCTTTTTTTAATGTTATTCATTACTTAAATGTACTGACATAGTTTTAGAAAATCTATATTTTTAATATAAACAAGAAGTTAAAATCAAGTTGAAATAAATACTATCTAAATAATCTTCTTAAACCACTATAATATCCTTAATCAATGCAAGAGATGGCATCATAATCTTATGTTGTATGATTGTTAAAACAGAGATTTATATTAATTCTAAAAAAATTTAAGCTAATACTTAATATGAAAACGATACTTCGAGGTTATGCCAAATTATTGCTCATAATTAGTAATAGAATCATTAAAAATTTAGATTATTTCATCTAGAGTTTTATTATTATTAAAATATGATTGATAGGTTTCTTTTGTCAAACACTAGATCTTTAACCTAAAATTTTTTAGTTTCTTTTAATCCAACGAGGGAATATTAATAATATTCTAAACATAGTATTTACTATAAACATAATATGCAATAAATATCCATTTTATTTGTTGTAATTACAAAAATCGTTAATTGTGTTTAGGATTTTTAAAATGATTCTTCTTAACTAGAATTCCTCCTAATATTGTGCCATTTAATTACAATTAAAAAAAGAATTCTTAGATTTATGAATGATTTTTATCAAATAAAATGATATATTAATACCTTTTTAATCTCTGGACTAAATTATCATAAACTTACTATCTAATTTTGGTGAAATATTGATATTTGAAGGGCAGCTCTGCTCTAAAACTGTGAAATTTCATCTCTGCCTTTTTTTGAGTTGTTATATCCTGATAGCTGATTATTAGGTTACTTACTTGCTTAAATATTTTATGATATTAGAATATGCTCATTAACTTTTATCTAAAAATTTTCGATTCTATTAAATGAGTTCAATATTTCTGGATACTAATTCTTTTTATTTTTCAAAGTTAGATCTCTCATTGCCTGAGCTAATACATATTTTTCTAAATTCTTTTATTGTCTACTAGAGATAGCTTTACTATCAAATATAACCATATATATTATAAAATCGGAATACCAACTTTAATTATTTTTGAAAAAGCTTCAGTGGTTATCAATATGAAAAATAAGATAAACATCCATTATGTTCAAATTATGGCTGTGGCATCTACTCTACTTAGCTGTCGTTAATTTTATAATTATTAAATCAACTTGTATATTTTTTTAAATTATTCCAATTGTATACTATGATCATCTTTTACTGTTACAAAATGACCTGATATTCTATCATATTTTGTTTGTGTACATTCTGTTACAAATGTTTTTATAATTTATTTATTATTTATTTCATTTATTCCATCATTTTTTTCATTCATAAGTTGTTTGCATGAATATTCTAAATAGTTTAAGTAAATAGAATAAATTAGAATGATAAAGAAAAGGATATT